TCACTCTTTGTCCATCTCTACCCTACGTGTTTTTGAGAGCGGGAGCGACAAAAAAGCGACAGGGGCTCGCCTCGCTTCAAAAGCGAAGCGCAAAGCGAAGCGCACGCTCCATTGAAGTGAAGCGCAATTGTGAAAATACATATAATATATATAATAATTAATTTATAAACTGAAATACATATAAAATTTATCAAACTGAAAGTATAACATATATATAATAATTAATTTTATAAACTGAAATACACATTAAAAAATCAAATAAACTGAAAGATATAACACATATATATAATAAGTAATTTTATAAACTAAAATACATATTAAAATTAAGAAGAAAAAAAGGGAGGGAAAAAAGAAAACCAGCGCCTGCCCTAGCTGTGCAGACAGATGCTGGAGGAGAAAAAATGAAAAAGAGAAGAGAAGAAGAAGAAGGAAGAGGAAAAAGAAAGAAAAAAAGAGCAGAATCTGGACGGGAACAAGAAGAAGAAAGAAAAAAATGAGAAGAAGAAACTTACCTGGAAACCCTAGTTTTGTCGATGAAGAAGAGAGAAGAGGCCTCTGTTTTGTCAAGCAATTACAGAAGCGAGGTTAGGGGTCTGTTTTGTATACTTTACAAATAGACCCAATCTTTTTTTTTTTTAAAAAAAAGGGCCCAGCTGCGATTTTTTAACAGAAGCGATCGCTTCACTCGCTTCGTTGCCTCGTCGCCTTGTCGCTTTTTTCACTGAAGCGTGCGCTTCACACGATCGCGTCGCCTCAGGCAGTAAAAAGCGATGCCTTGTCGCTTCGCGCTTAAAGCGACGAAGCGATCGCTTTTCCAAACATTGGCATAGCGTCTGCTGTTCTAAATTGATAAACGGATGAATAATCAAATAAAAATAGGCAACTTTGAATCTGTGATTCTCCATGCTCGCATTATAAGAGTTAAATCATTCTCTTGAGTGTTTCAACTTTCATGCATTTCTAGTGGTACTTTATTCTAGCATAATTTTTTCTTTTTGATTACCGGGAAATCTGTATGGTGTAATTGAATAATATATTGACTATTGAGATAATCAATGGTTACTCTATGGAATCTAACTTTTGTGTTGAATTATATATGTTCATTATTATCTAGCTTTAGAACCTAAACCAATCTAATCATTAGGATTTAGGGCAAAGCACCATTATTCAAACAATCACATTTGTGATATGCCTGGTGAAGTGTAATGCTCTATTCTTATGCTGAAAAACTATGCGATTCCAGTAGTATTGATGAGTGAGTTATGACTCTCCTTTCTTTTCTTTGGTGGCTTTAGTGCATCTTAATTGTTTGTGCTACTGAAACCCATGTTCTTAATCGTCATGGCTCCCTTCATGATACTGTTCCTTTATGGGCTAGTATTTGCAAAAGTTGCCGATTGTAATGAATTCTGATCTTTTGTGTTGTCTTAACCGTTTGTTTCCATGGAGATGAATTTTATCCAGTATTAACATGCTGAAATGTTTGATGTGGCATTATTTATTACATAAACTTTGCAAGTAAAAGTTTATTCACTTTGCATAGACTAACTACAGAACGTGACATGGCTGAGAAGTAACCTTCTGGAGAAGTCATAATGCTTGGTGACATTATCTGGGAAGCTTTCGAAGTCTACTTAATGATAAGACTCACTAACCTGGACACGACTGAAAAAAAGGAAAATTACATGTGAACTCTGGCCATAAGCAAGGATGGCTAGTCTCTAGTCATGGAAGAAAATCTGGAAAGGGAAACCTCTTTTATAAGGTAGCATGTTTCTGTAGGAGGGTGCTCACATATGAAGTAGTTCTCACTTAACATTGATTTACATAGAAGGAGAGTCCCTATATACAACAGATGTCACAGATTTGTGTTTTGGCCTCACAGATATGACTGTGTTTTCCTCATCTTTAATATGAGGTGGACTTTTTGCCTAAGACAATTAAGGACCTGCATTTGGTGATTCTTGTTCTTGTGGAAAGATAAGAAGCAAGTTTTCTTTTTCTTTATGCGCAAAATAGCAATATAGATGGACTGAAATATAGATGTCTTTATCTTTTGGCTTTTGGGTGTATAATGGGAGTATGCAAGTGATACACACAGCATGATTGCACTCTCCACTAAGGTACTAGCTCAGTTCAAATGACCTGATTTTTGTACTGTCTTGCATATCTAGGCACTAGCTCACTGCTGCTTTAGGATTAATATATATATATTCTTCACTTAGAGTTTGGCATGTAAAAGTTGAGTATAAAAGAGCTTTTTAGCAATCTCTCGAGTGTTCTGTTTTATTCAATTTCCTAGAAAAATAAACGACATTCGATCCCAACATAAGATGTCAAGATTAATTAATTTAATCCTTTTTCTTTAAACCCTCAACTTAAGGCTAGCTCCTTTCCAAATAGAAAAGGAAAAAGAAACATGCACAAACTACAGAACAATAAAGGTTAAATTCTTGATTATAACATTATTCTCCTAAAACTTTGGGAAACCAAGTTTATATTTGGGGCGTAGGTCTTTGTAGTTTGAAATTAAAACTTCGCATTTAGTGTTTAAGATGCAACGTAAGATATTAGCATTTTAGGCTCACGCATTAAAAGGGATTTTTTCATACCTATATACTATTGGAAACTTTATTATCCTTCCTACTCAAGTTTCCTTTTAATTACATCCTATATACAAGTTTACTAATTATATACACTTTAGGAATTAAATTCCTTTATATTAGGAATCAATTATTTCCCATTCTTATTCTCTTTCCCTCATGCTCTCTCTCTCTCTCTCTCTCTCTCTCTCTCTCTCTCTCTCTCTCTCTCTCTCTCTCTCTCAATCAATCAATCAATCAATCCCTAATTCCATTAATGTAGAGCAAAGGAAAAGAGAGCAGCAATTCTACCATTGACAACCATTAAAAAGCTTTGAAGCTTTGAATTCGAATTTGGGTTTTCAAAAACCATTATTTGTTTGGATTGGGTGTTGTTGCAAACAATTGGGAATATGGTTTGGCGTTTATATCTCAATTTTGAGGGTGTTTTGTTGAAGATTTGACTTGATTTTGGCTGAATTTCAGATTGAAACTCGAAGAAGAAGAAGACATGACATACATTATACTTACGAAATTGTAGTAAAATTGTATTTTGTTGTTTATATATATATATATTTTATTTAAATATTGTATGAAAGTTGAACAATATTGTATAAATTTTGTATACAAATTGAATTTAAGTTGTATGATATTTTAGTTGTATATAACTGGGTAGAAATAATGTATGAAAGTTGTAGATAAGTTGTATAATATATAATTAGTTGTATGAAATTTGTTTTTTTATTATGTATAAATCAGATACAAAATATACAAAAGACATATTGTATAAAAATTATATTTAAGTGGTATTATAGTTGTATATAACTGGGTAGAGCGCAACAATTCAATTGAGTGCTATTGTAGTTACTAAGTTTTTTATGTTCATAAATAGAGCGCATCAATTCAATTGAGCACCCATTAATTCTTCGATTTAAATGCTTCTACATCTGAAGCAAAGGAAGTGAACAAGACTAAATAATATCCTGATAATCTATATTATAAATGATGAGTATTCGCGCTAGATCTATGCGTATATACTACAACCCATGTAAATTTACTAAATTGAGCTAAGTATGAAGAAGAATTGATTAGCGTTCCTTAGAGAAAGAGGAACGAGAGAGAGAAAATTTCATTTCTGTTCAGTTCTAGAATGTACCGACCTAACCCCTATCTCTCTATTATTTTACATTATATTGGGCTTTAGCCCAGAAGCTCAAATACAAATAAATACACCCTAGCTAAACTGGTAGTGGGCCTGTATCATGGGCCGTAGTAAGCTAAAGTCCAACACCCCCCTTCAAGTTGGAGGGTGCTACAACCCCCAACTTGAGCAACAAAGAGTGATGAATAGCTCCAGTGAGTGGCTTTGTAAAAATGTCGGCGAGCTGAGAAGTGGTAGGAACATGATGCAAGGAGATTAGTCCATCACCAAGTTTATTCCGAACTAAATGACAATCCAATTCAATGTGCTTTGTTTGCTCATGAAAAACAGGATTCTTCGCAATATGAATGGCCGCCTGGTTGTCAGAAAACACTGGCACAACATAAGATACAGCAACACCAAAATCAGATAAAAGTCGAACAACCCAAGTCAACTCCGCAACCACCTTACTAAGAGCTCGGTACTCAGCCTCAGCGGAAGAAAGGGAGACAACTGGTTGCTTCTTAGCCTTCCAGCCAATTAGAGAATCCCCTAAAAGAATGCAAAACCCAATGACTGATCTTCGAGTGTTTGGGCAAGCAACCCAATCACTATTACAGAAAGCAGACAAAGAAAGAGATGGAGAATTGCCATAGAACACCCCCAACATCAGAAGTACCTTTGAGGTATCGAAGTAAATGCAAAGCAACCTTCATATGGGAAGTACAAGGGGCCTGCATGAACTGGCTGAGATGTTGGACAGCAAAACAAAGGTCAGGCCTTGTGTGAGTCAAAAAGTTCAACTTCCCCACCAAGCTTCTATAAGTGTCAGGAGAAGGCAGAGGATCACCCATGGCAGCCTTCAATTTAGAGTTCAAATCCATAGGACAAGTCACATGAGACAACATATCACAATTGCAATCATGAAGTAGATCTCTGATAAACGTTCTTTGATGTAGTAATATCCCAGAAGGAAGATATGCCACTTCTATGCCAAGAAAGTAGTTAAGAACACCCAGATCTTTGATTTTGAACTGATTGTCCAAGAAGAGTTTCAAAGCAGAGATTTCTTCCAAATCATCACCAGTAAGTATTATATCATCCACATAAACGGCAAGGAGGACAGTGGAACCACCTGATCTTCTGATGAAAAGGGAATAGTCATTCAAAGAATGGAAATTACCCCTAGAACACAAAGCATGAGATATCTTGGCATACCACTGCCTAAATGCCTGTCTCAAACCATACAAGATTTTTGAAGATGACAAACCAAATTAGAAGACTGACTAGATGAAGCAACACTCTCAGCAGACAAACCAGGGGGCAATTTCATGTAGACCTCCTCATCCAAGTCCCCATGCAAAAATGCATTATTCACATCAAGTTGAAACATAGACCAATTCCTTTTCATTGCCACAGCAATGAGACATTTAACAGTAGAAAATTTGATGACTGGAGAAAAAGTTTCATTAAAATCTACACCCTCCACCTGTGTATCACCCCTAACAACCAACCTAGCTTCATATCTTTCTATAGACCCATCAGCCTTATATTTTATCTTATAGACTCATTTACAACCTATGGGTTTCTTGCCAGGAGGTAATTCAACAATGGACCAAGTATCATTAGCCTTAAGAGCCTCAAATTCCTTTCTCATAGCCTCTTGCCAAGCTGGAATAGAAGCTGCCTGATGGCAAGCTTGGGGTTCCAAGCCAGCAGCGCTAACTGAACTCTGAGAACAAAAGGGAGAAGAACTAGAGCCACATAGAGAAGGAGGCAGACTGCAAACATAGTGTTAAAGATGACTAGGAGTAACATGATTTTTGGTGGATCTCCTAACAGGAGCTGGAGACAGACTAGGGGCAATAGGAGGAGCAGGAGCAGGTTCAAGGACAGGAGAAGAGTGAGGAACATACACAGGAGAAGGAATAGAAGAAGAAGAGGGAAAAGCAACATGTGTTGAGGATGAGACAGGATCAGGTTCATGAGAAGAGGTGTAATGAAACTCATCAGAAGAGAAAGGAACAGGAGAAGAAGATGATGTAGAAGTAACAGATGAAGGAGAGACTGAGGCAAAAGGGAAAATACCCTCATGAAACACTACATCTCTAGAAATAAAGGTTAGTTTAGTAGCTAGGTTGTAAAGTTTATAACCTTTCTTAGCCAAGGGATATCCCAGGAAAACACAAGGATCGGCTCTAGGTTTAAACTTGTCCTTGTGACACTTAGGAATTGTGGAGAAACACAAGCAACCAAAGGTTCTAATGTGATTATATGAAGGGGTTTCCCAAAGAGTAATTCAAAAGGAGTTTTATTGGCAAGCAACTTGGAAGGGAATCTATTAATGAGGTAAGTGGCAGTGAGGACACAATCACCCCAAAACTTAATAGGTAACTTGGATTGAAAAAGTAAAGCTCTAGAGGTTTCCAACAAATACCTATGTTTTCTTTCAACTACCCCATTTTATTGTGGTGTGTGTGGGCAAGATGTTTGGTGAACAATGCCATTGTCAACAAAGAATTGGCCAACATGGACCAAAGTTCAAGAGCATTATCACTTCTAATAGTTTGAATGCAAGTTTGAAATTGTGTTTTGACCATGGCACCAAAAGCTTTAATCAGAGGAAAAACATTACTTTTAGACCCCATAAGGTGAGTCCAAGTGGCTCTAGTGAAATCATCTACTATAGTCAAAAAATATTTGCACCCATTGTAAGTAGGAGTGCTATATGGTCCCCAAATATCCACATGTACAAGTTGGAAGGGATGAGAAGTTTTGATAGCGCTATCAGGAAAGGGTAGTCTAGGTTGCCTAGCTAAGGGACAAATACAACAAGTAAAAGGCTGTTTGGAGGAAAATTTGCATGGAATGGATGAAATATCCTTCATTCTGACAAAGGGGATATGCCCCAACCTATTGTGCCATAAAATCTCCATTTTATTCAAATCAGAATGGTATGTACAATGATTATCAGTTCCAATGGTAGCCAATGGAGAATGGTATTTACAATTGGAAGACATAGAAGAACAAGTAGGAAAACTATTACAAGCAGCAGCAAGAGCAGTAGAATCAGATTATGGACATGGTTGCACAAGCTTGTATAGCCCATGATCCTGTTTACCAATTTCCAGTGGCCTCTTCATTGAAGGGGCCTGTATGAGAAAACATGAAGATTTACCAAACAGAACCAGGCAATCGAATGTGCAACAAGCTTGTGAACAGAAATAAGATTGTGCTGGAAACTAGGGACAAAAAGTACATGATGAAGTGTGAAAGAATGAAACTGAAGAGAACTAGTGCAAGTGACTTTGACTTTATATCCATTAGGAAGTGTGACCAAATATGGGACAACTAAAGGCTAAATATCAAAAAGAAGTTCTTTCTTAGAAGTCATGTGATTAGTGGCCCCAGAATCTATTATCCAAGTGTACTCATAAACTCTAGTTAGCATGCATGCACCATAAGACACCTTGCCCACACAATCAGGGGAAGGAACTATACCCGCAAAATTAGCAGAAGCCATCAGATTAGACTGAGAGAGAGACTCTGAAATGTGATGTTGCTGAAGTAACATCAGGAGCTGAGCATACTGGTCCTTAGACAGACCAGGAATCACAGAATTAGAATCAACAGGACTCTCAGTGGAAACTGGTCCAGATTCAGTAGCACAAGCTGATCTCTGCACCTCAACATTTGCAGCAGTTCGTCTACCTTTGGTGAATTTAAAGTTTGGTGGAAATCCATGGAGCTTATAGCATTTATCAATAAAATGTCCAGGTTTCTTACAATACTTGCATAAAAGAGAAGACTTGTTCTGATCAAAACTGACTTTCTGGACAAACTGTCTAGGAGGGGCAGATTTATTGTTCAGATTGACATGAAAAGAAGCAGAGTCACCCTAGAAATGAGAATTAGGAGTAATTTGCCTCTGCTTTTAATCTTGGAGGAGGATACTATAAGCAGTATCGAGAGAAGGTGGAGGTTGCATCATGAGCAAGTTGCTCCTAACACCAACATAGGTTTGATTCAGACACATGAGGAATTGGTGTAATATGTTCTCCTCTTCCTCCTTCTGAAGTCCAGGTTTAGCAGCACAAACACAAGTGTTGGCATGATTAGTGCACATAAACCTCAGTTCATCCAATAACTTCTTGAGTTTGTTGAAACAGGAAGCAATGTCCAATAAACCCTGATGAGTGGATGCTATCTCTTGCTTAATCTCAAACACCTTAATCCCACTAACTGAACCATATCTTCTATTAAGCTGACCCCAAATACTTTCAGCAGTATCTGAGTATTGAACACTCTCAACTATGTCCGGGGATAGGGATAGTCAACCAGGAAATAACCATATTATTACACATATCCCACTGATTAACTGAGGAGTATCCTCAGCTAGTCTCGGACAACTCCCATCAATGAATCCTATTTTATTTCTAGCAGTCAAAGATACGATCATATTCTGGCTCCAACCCCCAAAACCAGTCCAAGAGAAGGGCACACTAACAAGAGATACACCAGGCACATCAGAAGAAAGTAAAAACAGCAGACTGGATGGGTCAGGAGTATAGGTAGTACTCGAGGATGTATCAAAACCTCCCATAGCGAGAGTCAGAGACTTTCGTCGAAGTAATTAACACAAACAGATGACCAATGCAAGGAAAGGAAAATTGAAAGAGATTACCGTATGTTTTCGCTACCGAAAAAGGCCTTGAATGTAGATTCTAAATGTCTGAACGAAAAAACCCTAGGTCAGCAGCGGAGGAGGAAATCGGTCCAATTCGATCCAAAATCACCCACACGTATCACACATACCACCAATAGATGACGAAAAAGTAACTCTGACCTTGATTCTGTCTGCAAATCCAGAGGAAACTACCAGAAGCAGAGTCAACCACGAACACTGACAATCGAGTGAAAAATTGATGAAAATGAGTGAGGGTAACACCGCTCTGATACCATGTAAATTTACTAAATTGAGCTAAGTATGAAGAAGAATTGATTAGGGTTCCTTAGAGAAAGAGGAACGAGAGAGAAAATTTCATTTCTGTTCAGTTCTAGAATGTACCGACCTAACCCCTATCTCTCTATTGTTTTTACATTATATTGGGCTTTAGCCCAGAAGCTCAAATACAAATAAATACACCATAGCTAAACTGGTAGTGGGCCTGTATCATGGGCCGTAGTAAGCTGAAGTCCAACAGCCCAAGAAAATGCAAATTGTTATACATTATTAATGTGTAGAAGTAAGCTTATTAAAAGGAGGAGAGTGAGGGCTTTGGAATAAAAGGGCGAACCAAACAAAAGAGGAGATTCAAATCTCAAGTTTTTGTGATTCCATACGTGACACGTGCAAGGGAACTATACGTGACACGTGCAAGGGAACTATTTGAGTCAGCCACGAATCATTATTGTTCAAAATCATATAATTAATGGGAACTCCAATGACTTGAAATGTCAAACACTATTTCCTTTTTCTTTTTGGGCTTAGAAAGAAAGAATAAGTTAGCGAGGTCTGTTCTTGCCAACCTTTTCTTGAAAAGGGTGGAAGATCTGGAGAGAAAGGGGAAAGAGGAGAAAAAAGGAAAATGGTGTAACTAAATCCCTTGATTGAAGGCACAAATAATGGATTGGGAGCCTTTTAAGGTGGAATGAATATATTTTGTAAACAAAACTTGTTTAGGCCGAGTAATTAACTAAACATGGACATTTAGGGTAATAAAATTTTCAATAGTGTATAGGTATGTAAAAATCCCATTAAATGCAGAGCTTTCACTTTTACATCCACCACAGTTTACACCGTCTACGTTTGAAGGAGGTGCCATTAATATAAATTTAGGGGTTGGATTTGAGTGTTTTCTAATTTATTTCCTTCAAATTTTTAGGTTTTTTTAAGATTCCGTGAAATTAGGACGTCGAGGTCGCTAATTAACACATTCTGTGTTTAAATATAGATTTTTTTATTAATCTACAAAAACAGTTCTAAAATTCCACAACTGCTCGATGCAACGCAACAACTATGATTAAACATAATGCTAATTAAAAGGTTTTGCTAACCTACTACACTCATGTAGCAGGTTAGCAGGTTGCCAATATATGTGTTTACCCTTAAAATAAGTAACAATTAAATTTGTAGGAGGTTAAATGATACGTGATTTAATTTAACACAAATGATCTATGAACAGAAATTAATTAAAGTAAAGGGAAGCAAAATATTAAACTAAACGCGATGAACAATTAAGCCTGGCCTTTTAGATGAACTCTGAAAACTGACCTCGGTCGAGCCCTCAAGACTGGCTTGGTTGTAACCGAATAATTAAGTAGCTGTAGAACACAATGAACAGTAGCTAGAGAATGAAAATGAACTTTTATTGCTTTTATATGCGTGCCAATAGTGTTTTTTTAAATAAAAAAGTTTCCCCTTTATATAGTAGGGGAGTTTCAATCCTAGTACAAGTCTAAAGAAGGTAAAAATCTTCTTTTCCTAGTAAATGTTGATCCACAGTTGATATCGGGCGGATTCGCGCCGTGACATCCGGTTGAGGGCGGATATTACGGCTCCACTCTTATTGTTCTTAACCGTTTACTCTTTTTCCTTAGTCTCGAACCTTCACTCTGTCCGGAACCAATGTTCAGCCGTGTTCGATCCCGGATGCACTGTTCATCCTCCCCGGGCTTCGAAACAAAGAACCCTTCGTCTTTACTCAAGGTCGTGTCAGATCATGTATCCTTCTCGTATTTTTACCGAAACATTAGGGGTAACATTATCTCCGATTTTACCCGTACACAGATAGTCCCCTCACTTTTCGGAGAGCAGATTTATCGAAGCGACGAGAAGTGATTAATTGACCCCGGTTCCTTCCTCTGTATGCTGAAATCGGGTCGACGAGTCAGTAAAATGTCTCATCAGTCGTGTCGTTCTGACTTCGAACACGTGTCAGCTGCCGGTTGAACGTCCTCGAATGCGAAACGTCACGCATTAATTACTTCCCTCCTATAAAAGCTTCGGTTCTTTTTTCACTTTTTTACATTCCGATTTCAAACCTTCTTAAGTTACCCCCGAACCTTTTACTTGCTCATAATCCCTTCAAATCTTCATACACTGTTCTTCACATCTTCATATCTTCATCTTTCCATCTTAAAATCTTTATACTTTGTCCTTGAACCTTCAAGTTTGACCTTCAAACCTTCATTCTCATCTTTAAATCTTCATACCCGCCTTCATACATTCATATTCCCAGAATTCGATGGCGGAAACTTCAAAATCTGTGCCCCAACAAACCGCTCCTTCAACTTCTAACCCGGCCATGGATGTCGAGGTGGTCCTACCTGAAGCGGCCCTGGAACCTCCTCTAAAAATTTTTATCCCCGGAGGTTGCGCTATAGACGATGACTTTAAGGTCGAAAAAGCCTCCAAGCAAGGGGATCGAGGTGAGGAGGTTTGGAGGTACATATGGTCCATCACCGAGGACACGCTCCCGACGGTTCGGAGCACTGCGAGTGGGAGGGAAAGGATGTGGTCGTCCTTGGCCCCGATGAGGACATCACCACGTATGTGGAAGGGTACCTAAGTGTTTATATGTACCCTTTCACGCTTGGCCCGGTGGATAGGATAGTCCTCGACTTCTGCAAAAGGTACGACGTCTGCTTCGGGCAGATTCATGTGGCCTTTTGGAGGATCGTGATCCTCCTCCATCACTTCATTAATGACACGGAGGAGCCTTGGTTTACCCTCGACCATTTGCTTCGCCTCTATAGTCCCCGAATCTTCCGAGGGGGATTAATCAAGCTTGCCCGACGGGCAAAAAAAATCCCATTCTCGAGTATCGACGAGGACATGGATTGAGGCTGGCAGGGGAGTTTCATTCGGGTGAAGACCGAGGATCTCATTCACTTCGAGTTCCTGCCGTTCCCTACAAAGTGGAACCTAACACGTAAATTCCCCTCCTTTTGAGTAGTTAAAATACCTTTTGGGCTTTGTTCTTCTTTCTCATCTCCTGATTTTACCGTTGTGTAGCAGTTGCCCGAGTCCCCATTGCAGTTCCCCGTTTCAAAGAGCGGGTCGAGGGGATCTGCAAACAGTTATCGTACTCCGAGCGCGAATGGTGCAAACTCTCAAATGGCAAGTGGAGATCCGCTTCCATGGTGAGTGTTCTCCCCCGGATTGAGTTTGCCTTTATATTTAATCGTTATTTTACTAAGTCCCCTTTTGTCTTCCACAGGTTTGCCCAAGACCACTGAGCTTCGAGCAGTGGACGAGGACGAGGCTCCGTCCTCACCTATTAAACCCTTCGTTTCGGGATAGCCTGTCGCCGAGGCCGCTGTGAAGAAGGAGGAGAAGAAGAGAAGAAAGAGGGGGTCTTCTGGTTCCCCGGACACGGACGCCGAGGCCAAGAAGAAGAGGGTCACGGACAGGGTCCGAAAGAGCAACAAGAAGAGCACTCGGGCCAGGGTACCAGACCTGGAATCCCTTTACCGGCTTAGGGGTTACCCTGAAGATGACGACTTAGAGTTCGTCGGCCATGAGCCGGCCATTGCTGTAGAAGAGCGAGCGGCACCGGAGGGAAGCGACCGAGAGCTGGAACTCTCTTTAGCGCAGGAGCCCGAGGGAAAGCCTGTGGCTATGACCTCTCGAGAAGCTACTCTTGCTCCGAGAGAAGCCTCCAATGTTATCGACGTCCCGGAGTCGCTGTCTCACACAGAGTCTCTATCTGACGAGGCTCGTGCCATTAAAGAAAAGCCAACCGAGATGTCACGGGCTGCAGATTAGGCCCTTAACCTGTTCTTTGAAGGCATGGACATCGGTGCGCTGGAGGACTACTCCGGGTTTGGACACTAGGAGATCCTGAAAAAATACGTGCTGCTGGAGTCAGTCGACCCGAGCTCGAGCCCAAAGCTGGTGAAGCAGTTCCCCGCCTCGAGCGTGGATCCCGATCATAAAAGAATGGTCATGTTTATGATCCTGGCAGATACGAGGATGCTGTTGGCACCGGTAGGCATTGCCATCTACCTTCGCTGCTTGGCGAAGATGAATGAAGTGGACGCTTCGAGCCTTTTCAACGAGGCACAACAGGCGCTGAACAAGGTATGTTTTTCTTTCCTTGTATTCCTTAAGGGGTTTATTTAACCTTAGCATATTTTTATGATTTCATTATTTTGTTTCTCAGGCCTCGGTGCTTCACTATGAGAGCTTCCATCGATCTCAGATGGAGGTGAGCCATCTCGAGTTTGAGCTCAAGGAGTAGGTCCAGCAGAAGGACATGTACAAAGCTCTTAGTGAGCAAAGAGATGTGGCCCTCAAGAAACTCCCTATCCTCCAAGCCGAGCTGGAAAAAGCTCAAAAGGAGGCCTCGTCGGTGAAACGGGAGCATGCCGTTGTGGTCGGAAAGGTAAGGGTATTTGAGATTAATAACGAGAGTCTAAGAGCAGCTACTAACGCCACAACCTCACAAGTCCAAGAGAAAATAGACCTGATCGACCAGCTCCGGGCCGAAATGGACGACGTCAAAGCCTCGGCCGAGGCGTTGAGGAGCAAGATGGATCTCTTGGCCTCGTAAAAGGAGGCCACCAAATAGGATCTGGCATCAGCCAAGGACTAGCTTC